TGTGTGTGTGTGTGTGTGTGTGTGTGTGTGTGTTTGAACCTGATGTCATTATGTTCATGTTTTAACTGAATTCAAAAAGCCATCTTGGTCTAAAACAACGTAAAATCAGATTCATCTGTTCGTCAGATCCGTTTCGTCACATCAGATCTTTGCTGACGAGAGTTTAGAAGCGTTTTATTTTCCGTCTGCAAACTCGTGGCCAAGATTCTCGTCTCGAAGCAGCAATTCATCAGTGAGAATACTTCACTGACACCGGACCATAAACCTGCAGAATCCAACGCTCGGCTCTCGGGACTTCAGTGTTTATCTTGGATCCAAATCTGAGGCTCCCGAACACCTGAGCGACATTTAACCAGCGTGAAAAAGTCTCCGACCACCGTCAGCTTCTCTCTGGTTTTACACAACTTTCACAACGTTTGGATGAAACGTTGACAAAGGATGAGCAACTCACAGAAACTTTTTTTTATTGTATTCAATCATGTAACGCTGAAGGTTTCGGAGCAGCTGTTTGAACACGACTCAGGTCGTTAAACCTCCGGATCTCGAAGCGCGTACGTTAGTGTAGAACTAATGCAAGACAGAGTTAGTGGATTTAAAGGTGAACCGATCTGATGCGTGAGATGAAGTCACTGAACGGACGTTTCTATTCTGTCACATTCTGAGGGTTCTCGACACCGGAGAGGAACAAGATGCACTTAGAACTGAGAAACTAGAACAACACTCAGGAGAACACGTTCCTCTGCTAAAGCCCCACGAGGCTCTTTAATTCAAACAGCCAACACAACAGAACAAGAAATCTCTGCAGGAGACGTTGACATGGAGACAAATCAAATGTGACCCCGTTTAAATCACAATCGCACTGAGTCCAGAACTTTTCTAGAACTTTTCTAAAACAGAAGGCCTGTGAGTGGGAAGGGAAACGTCTCAGTCACTGGCTCCTGAACGTTTCCTGTCACAGTGATCGAGTGGACGTGTTGATGACGCATTGTCTCTTCTTGTGAAAGACAAACACACTCTGATGTTAATAAAAGAGATCAAACTCTCTTGGCTCCAAACTTTTGTCCTGATCCCAAAACTTCAATCTCATCCTTCCAGCAACTTTCATGGGAATCCACTCTCAAACCAACAAACAGGGGGGAAAACATAAAGCTGGGAATCGAACCCATGCACAACGGAGAAACGTCGGCCTGGACGTCACGTGTAACTCTGCTGTCACACACCTCGTTGGGCTCTTTTAACCCTTTTCCCCATAGATCTGAACCCGTGCAGATCCCAGGTCAGGTCACAGGGTCAGTGGGTCACAGACCGGATGTAGACGAGCGAAGACAAAACAAAACAAAAGTATTTGCACCATTTAACGTTTTTCTCTTTCTTTGAATCTTTTCTCCGTCAGAAAGAAGACAGAATAAAAACGGACTTGGAAGAAAGAGGGAGAGAAAACGGCTGCGGCTCCTCAGCAGCAGCAGCGGCGGCGGCGGCGGCGACAGCGACTCTCCGGGAGAAACCTGAGGAAGTGACGGACACGCGGCGAGACGAGCGGCTCAGCACGACACGTGTCAGCGATTTCAATCTGAGCCCAAATCAGTGTTTGTGGATGTTTCCGATCAGACCGTTCGTTATTAAAAACATCAGAATGTTGTTTACTGGAAACTTCAGTCGATACTATGACTAAGAAATTCTTGCATCCTAACGACTGCGGCCTGTGAGTAACGATTTCCAGAGAACGGTGGTGACTTGGTGATCGTCTGTAAACATCTGTCCCCTCGAGGATCCAGAGTTTATCTGGTGTCCAGCCACAGATTCCAAACATTTCCTGGTTCTCATTCACAAAATATCAAAGTTCAATCTGTGCGTTGGTTAAAAGAGAGAAAACAACTTATGTGACGAACTTTCCCTTCAAATCAAACAGTGATTACGTGGCTGACATGTTTTTTTGTTTATATAAAAGGGTTGTAAGTTTTATTTCCCGCTCTTCTTCTCCTCCTCCTGTTTGCTTCTGTCCGTTTTGTATTTAACAATATTTCTATGACGGAGTGGGATTTTAATTCCACAGCTTGAATGTATGTTTCACTACATGTAAATATGGTTGATAAACTGACTGCAGATCTATAGCCTCTTGCAGACGTGTGAGTCCTGCAGCCCGATTTAAAAAGCTTGAATTTGTAACTTTGTATAATGTGACATTAAGATTGTGAGTAAAACGTTTCCTCTTCTTATTTTCACTGAATCTGTGTTTGTCTGTGTTTTCGTGATTCTGCACCGGAGGATCGTCGCTCTTCAGTTTACTCAAAGCTTCAAATCTTTACAGAGTCGTGAGGGAAAGAGACGTATTTCATTTCTATAATTTGTCCGTGATGATTATTTATCCAGCGAACAGCAGGAAACGTTTCTTTTCATTTTGACCTTTAACGGTGGCGGATTGAATTAGTTTCACCCTCCGGCTCTGAAGAGGATCCTCCGATGATTCACTGAGTTAGAAGCAAAAATATGATCCAAAAAAAAAAAAACCTTTTTCCAAAATATCTCTGCAAATAATCAATGTGAAGCTGAATCAGGATCAGGAAGTGATTCCCCATCATGTGATGCAACGTCGTTATTCTTCGTCCTATAGACGCGACCTGAAGCTTTTATAGGTAAATCAGGATCATACGTTAGGAATGATGTCATCATGATGTCATCATGATGTCACTGTGAAGCCAGGGTATGACGTCATAAGCATATGCTGTAGCTTATTTAGATCCGCCAATTATCTATCGTTGAATAAATTCAGTTAACTGGCTCAGAGGAGTTTTTCATTAACTCCCACAGCAAAAATAAATTACTAAAATATTTTGTACACAAGTTCTTATAGGAAATATTTGACCCAAACCAAGTACATAAACTCTGAGCTGCTCATAGAGTACGTGTACTGAGGTATGTACTATGTATAGTAGAGTACATATATATATGTACAAAATATAATAAATGTTATTGTATAATTAAAGACTCAGCAGCAGCAGAACATGAAGGAGCTGAAATCACCTCCATCTTTAGCATCGGGGTCATTTTAATATAAAATCTCCTCCTGCATTACATTTCTATTAACTTCGTTTGTTCTCAGGGTCGATAAACGCTGGTTATTCGTTCTGAACCAGGATCTGAAGCAAGTTTTCATGTGAACAGTTGATGGTGAAAGTTTTACTGGGGTTTTCAGAGTGAGAGCAAGAGTCACGGGGAGGGATCGGTTTAAAAAAAGATTTTATTACTTCGAAAAAATAGGAAAATGGATTTGTGAGATTTGGTTGATGAAAAGTTTCAGAGATTGATTTTCTTCTTTTCCAGAGTCAGAAACTAATAAACAGCTCAGGACGGATTTGCTGTCGTCTCATTTGATTCCAAACAGGAATTTCAAGCTTATTTAGCTCAATTAAATTAATTATTAATGACTCAAAAGTGAAATAGTGAGAGGGGGGGTGAGGGGTTTAAACCTTAAATTTTTTTTCTTCTTTCCCTAAACAAATAATCTATAAGTTTAATTCGTTTTCTCTTTGTTACAAGATTTGTACGATTATTTCGCAGTTTTCAATTTTTGGGTGAAAGTTGTAAATTTACATGAAAAAGGTTTGAGTGGATAAATACTCGTCAGAAGTATTTAAATGTAATATATAAGACGATGTGTTTAGAAATTAGATCCAAACTCTGTTCAAACAACCGGAGCAAGTTGAAAAATGAAAAACAAGGTTGACATGAGTCAGTATTTCATTTTCTAGTACTTTGCAACATGTACGTTTATTTTTCTCCCCTCAGGTTTTTCTGAACTTCGTTATATTTAGAAAAATCTGATGAAGCGCGTTCAAGTTCAGATTTAATTATCGGTGGTATGAAAGTGAAAAGTCTCGAAGATATGAAACATCGAAACACAACCAGACGCACAAACAACGGTCACAGTTTCAATCAGCAATACAGGAAAATAAAATCTGACTTGTCAGGTCGATGCTCCAGAGCTCGAGCCTCAGCTTCAACACAAAACACTGCAGATGTCACGGAACTGATTTTTACTGCGACAGAAGTTTTCTCCACCTGCTCAGTTCACTTTACCGAAGTAATTTCATAATAATAAAAAAAAATAAAAAAGTCCAGCGAAGATGAGGGAAAGTTGAAAGTCATCTTTTATTGCACAATAAAAGATCACACATACCATGTTCTGACTCATGAGATTGGTCCACATGGGAACACAGAGAGATATACTTACAAATAAGAACCAAGGAAAGAGGGAAGGAAAGAAAGATAAAAAATAAAAAAACCAACCACAGAACGTTTCCTCGGTAACGACCAGGTTCGGTCTTTTCTCCACTTTTAACAGAAACACCCTCGTGAGTAACGCTCAGATCTTCTTTTTGTGTTGAGGTGGATTCACAGACACGTGATGAAGGGTTTGTATCTGAAGTACTGAGATCTGGGAGTGTTTGTATCTGAAGTACTGAGATCTGGGAGTGTTTGTATCTGAAGTACTGAGATCTGGGAGTGTNGTTTGTATCTGAAGTACTGAGATCTGGGAGTGTTTGTATCTGAAGTACTGAGATCTGGGAGTGTTTGTATCTGAAGTACTGAGATCTGGGAGTGTTTGTATCTGAAGTACTGAGATGTGAAGAGTTCTGACGGAGGGATGATATCAATGATTCTTCGGCGACTTTAACGCGTCGTCATTTTGCTGAAAGACTTTTGTGAGAATGGAAAATAGTTCGAATTCTAATTTTACATTCACCTCTTTCACCCAGGATCATACTTCAGTGTCTGTGAAACCAGGAAACTTCGTACTCACGCAAATTTTCTCACTTTTTATATGATTCTCTTTTCAAACGACAAATACGTTTCGTCAATTGATTTTTTGAGGCCGTTCCATGTTGGAGAGGTTACGTCCGTCTGAGGTCAAAGGTCAGCGACAGATCAGCTGACAGTGTCGAGGACAGAGAGGAGGAGGGGCTTAACGCTGGAAATAAAGTAAGAACCAGGTTTCTCAAACTCCGGTGAAGTCAAACAGTGAAACTGACGAGTGACGGACGGAGGAGGGGATTCATTATTCTTCTTTTAGAAAATCTGATTCAAATCATGAGGAAGCAGAAGATGTCTCCTTCAAAAACACGTGTCGAGAAATTTCTGGACGTTTATTTTAAATCAAATCGCTGATTCTGAAAAGGGAAAATACCAAAAAAGTAGCTTGGGACATATATAAAAGTTAGAATAAATGGAGCTGTGATTGAGGAGCGCAGCTTTCAGTCAAACTTCAGTCAAAACAAAACGGCCCATCAAGGTTCTTTTCTAAATTTGGAGTTCGCTCGTGGACGAGGACCCTGCAGATCAATCACCACACTGTAACTGATCCTCGTGTCAGCGGAGACGCTCTCCAGACTCGTTAAAGACTCTTGAAGCGGATTAGCAGGTGACGAGAGCCGCGGAGGAAAACGTTGATGGTTGAACGTCCATGTGAACCAAAACAAACCATCGATCAGTCATGACATCGACGTAAGAGACGAGAACGGCACAATAAATACATTATTCATGAGGTTTACATTTCTGTCTTTTTTTTTTTTTTTT